TGAGAGAAAGAAAGAAAGAAAGAAAGAAAGAGAGAGAGAGAGGAATAAAGAAAGAGGGATGAAAACGGTATAACGGATGTGATATGACGCGGAAAAGGAAATTCTGCGCTTGAAGTTTAATATGCTACAGGACTACAAGAGACGAGTTTCTAATGAAAAAAGAACTCGGTATACAAGCAATGGTCTGCGAGATATGCTTGACCAATTCACGATAGTATTAATCTCTGCGACACGTACGGAATGGGGAAGTGAAAGTGATTATACTAATGAATGATTATATCTGTAAAATACTTTGAAAATAGTTTCACCTGTTAATTGACACGTTGTTCAACATCAACACGTCGTTTGATAATGAAAATGAAAACAAGGAATAAAATCTATTATTTAACGAAAATATTTCCTCTCTGCCTCTGTAATTATTCTACCACAGAAGCAAGAAGCCAATTCCTTTTATTAAGAATTCTAAATTCAAAGGACCGATAAATAAACTGAAAATATCTGCAGTTGAATCGTCAACACACACGTTCTTATATACCTTATTTTCCGGCTTACAAGACGCTTTGGCATGGAAGACGCACTCTAATATTGGAAAAAAAAAGTCATTCTCATACAACAACAATTTCACTCTGCGTCCCTCACATACTGGCGCCACCAATTGTTTACAGTAATCACTCGTCTGATTTTGTTTGTATGGCAATGACATACTAGTCAAGAACAGAAAGGCTCCCTCCGTTACTAGTAAACAGAGCATGTTTAAGCTTGTGGCTCAGCTCCAGGAAGGTTTATAGACTTGGAAATACTTGTAACAGCTAAGTACTGAGGTTACATCATATAAAAGGCTGAATTAGATAGATAGCTAACATTATAGTGTAATGACTCAACGTACAAATCCACTTCCCTATCAGTCAAGCCAATTAGGTGACCGTCCAAGCTTACTTCAGCCTGGGCGTTGCCTTACAGTCGTCTTGGAAGACGCACACGTATTTTTCAGGGTAATTTTTAGGAAAAAAGGTGCGTCTTGTAAGACGGAAAATACGGTACATATAAAGTTAGAGTTTTTCAAGGATATATATGGCTGGCACCTCGTATCTGAGTATGCTTGTCTGCTAGTGTGGCATCCAACTCTTGAAGCTTCCGTCGCCAATGTCAAGCAATGCAGCATGCCGTTTCCAAATTTCTAGCGGAGTGAATTGTGCTATGGGCCATTTTTTCTCACAGATGGTGACAAGTCAATCCTACTATACTGTGAAGTCGGCAAAATCAAAAACAAACAACGCACAGGCGCGAAATTAAAAAAGCGACAATTTACTCATCACAGGCTGTGTATATGTTATTTTTTTGTGGATACCCGTATCTGGGTAGAAGCCCCGTCTATTTTAGACAATATTTATTTCGTCTACTGAGAAATTATTAATGAAAATATGCCCTTCGGCAGGATTCGAACCCGTCTTCTCCGACCTGTTTTGACTGACCGGCTACTTCCTTTAAAGTAATAAAAATATGTCGGATTAAAAATAAAAAAAATCTATTAACTCTTTAGAAATATATATATATATATATATATATATATATATATATATATATATATATATATATATACACACACACACACACACACACACTTATATATATAGGAGCAAAAGTAAAAAAATTCTTCGCAGTGTTTTCTAAAGATATGTTATGGTGCATGTGCGGATAATATTTACATACCCTAATATATATATATATATATATATATATATATATATATATATATATAAGTCATGGTGATTGAAGTTAACAACCAGCTGCAACAGACTGTTTCATGCTTAAACTTTTATTTTAAATACGTTCTTTCCTGATATCGTGCACTTTAAAACAATAAATATAGCATACCTTCTCTCTCTCTCTCCATCTCTCTCTCTTTTCTCTCTCTCTCCCTATAAACATATATATATATATATATATATATATATATATATATATATATATATATATATATATAGCGGCTGTAGCAGCAAAATTGTGCAATTGTTTTTTAACCAATGTATCTTAGATATGATTAAAGATATCTTACTGGAATTCTCTGAGATATTTATAACACTATTGGACTCTACTTCGAACAATAAGAATGTATATTATATGGTGATGCGCAGTCTGGCAAAGGAGTAACCAATGCAGTTATGACTAACAACGTTATTGATACTATTAGCAATGCTCTGGAACTGTTTCAGATCAATTATTGGATGTCGATGCTGCTGAAAATGTGATTCATGTATGAAGGAATTGTGGCAAAAAATGTAAATCATTGGTTGGGCAAATGGCGCCATGATGTCGTGCGAGGTCCCAGAAATAATCTATCTATCAGATATAGCCATAGATACACTACAGTTCAAAAGCCACGCTGAGAACTAACAAGGAATGAACTTAATAGAGGATTGAAAAAAAATGATAAAGAATGGAATCAATTATCAAACTTATACTTTGAGCAACTTTTGCAGTGAATGCCAAAGATTTTTCCTGCAGTCGTCAACGTTAAAGGAGGATATTTTAACGAGAGCAAAATTTAATCAGTATTTTTTTCTTTTTGTTATAACATTTCTAATAAAAGAATCATATATGACTTTTTTAATTCATAATAATTTCCTTTTATTTAAAGTGCAAAACAACTACTTTTGGCGCCAATATAAATAATTACCAGGGGTGACCACAAACTTTTGAACTGAATATATATAAATATGAATATATAATAACGCGCATTGAGAGGTGGTGTTAATAAAATAGTACTGAACCTAAAGTTGTAAATCTAATGATGAAAATTAAACTTAAAATCCAGATTTTCGTTCCATTGTCAAGCGATGTTAGGAATAACTTTCTAAGAAATTTACTTAATTTATAGGCGCAGATAATATTAACATTTTTAGTTGTTAAGGTTAAGGAAAAATCAGTCTTTATCGATTAGGGGTGGTTGGATTATATATATATATATATATATATATATATATATATATATATATGAGTCTGTTTATATTTATCTCACCTATTTCTAGCCCATTGTCCATTGCCCAATTGTTGAACTCTTTATTCTTCATTAAGGTATCTGTTGCTATTCCAAAGAACTTTCGAATTTCTGTGTCACATTTACAGTCGTCTTTTAAAACACTTCCCAGGCTTGCGGCCAAACTGATGAGATGTGGACTTGTGCACTTCTTTTTGCTATATATTGTGTAGGTGATGCAGAGGGTGACATAAGGACAACCGATCAAGTTAGGACTAACAAAATATCATTGATACTAACGTCAATGTTCTGTGACTGTTTCTGATCAATTGCTGGATGTTTCTGTTGATGAAAATGCAACTCATGGAGGCAAACGATGTAAGTCATTCGCTGGACTAAAAGACATTTTCGAACGCAACATAATTAGAAGGATCTTGATTAGTGTCGTGCGATGGCCACAGTCAAAAACAATTATCTATCTATCTATCTATCTATCTATCTATCTATCTCAGTCTGTTCATTATCTATCTCAGTCTGTTCATTATCTATCTATCTATCTATCTATCTATCTATTTGAGTATGTTCATTATCTATCTATCTCAGTCTGTTCATATCTATCTAAGTTTACATTTTATATATTCACACCTATCTATCTACTTTATAATATATGTAATTAAATATATCTATCTCTCAATCTCTGTCTCTCTCGCACACACACACTGTTGAAAATGTTACTCATACATCAAGGCATTTTCCATCGGAACATCATTAGAAGGATCTTGATTAGTATCATGCGATAAGCATATCTATCTATCTATCTATCTATCTATCTATCTATCTATCTATCTATCTATCTATCTATCTATCTTAGTCTGTTCCTATCTCATTCTGCTCCTATCTATCTATCTATCTATCTATCTATCTATCTATATATATATATATATATATATATATATCGATCTCATTCTCATCATATCTATCTATCTATCTATCTATCTATCTCAGTTTGTTCATATCTATCTACCTATCTATCTATCTATCTATCTATCTATCTGTCTATCTATCTGTCTATCTGTTTGAGTCTTCTGTTCATATATATTTCAGCTATAGATCAAATAGTACGACTTGCATGTGGAAAATAATTGTTACTATAAAAATAATTCTCAATGCAATATTCATTCGCAAAAGAATTCTTATAATTTAAAATATATTTAGGCTTTAAATAACTCATAAAGGGTTGAAAACCCGTAATGAACAAATGAGTCAATCAATATCTATTTCGTCTGCTCATATCTATATATCTCACTTTTTCATATCTATTCAATCTATTCATATGTATAGTGATTGTCTAAATGTAGCTTAGATGTGGCACAAGGTGGAATGTATGGGGCACCCAGTGAGGATCGAACTTGATATTCAATCGTAATTCTTTTAACAAGACAAGCTTGCTAACCATTACACCATGTCGAGATGTTCAAACGATTTTCTAAGCATGGCTTCGATGTGGCACAAGGCTGAAAGTGTTTGTGCACCCAATGAGGATTGAATTCACTATCTATAATAATCTATTCATATATGTATATGTTATCTGTCCGTATGTCTATTCCAGTTCGGTAGTATTATGTACATCACTCTCTCTCTCTCTCTCTCTATATATATATATATATATATATATATATATATATATATATATATATATATATATATATATATATATCAGTGAGTTCATATTTGTGTGTGCATGTTTCGTATTTTTGTGTGTTCTCGCTTCTGCTTTATGTATGGGTGTGGGTGTGTGTGTGTCTAGGTGTGCGTCTGAATAATTAAGTGTGAATAGTTTGCATGTGCTTCTATGTATAGGTATGCGTGCGTATTACTGAGAGAAGGGAAAGAGTCAAAACGAAAAAGAAGAGAGAGAGAGAGGGTGACAGAGAAAGAGAGAGAGTGGGGAGGAATGGTCTTTGACTCAGGTTCCATATGGCTCTGGTGCCACAGGGATATTAAAATAGAACTGACACGTGGCATGCCAAGCCTCTGTTGCCCTGGCGCTGGCCACCTCTCGCTCCTCACGACACGGCGTCGGCAACACCCTTCTTTTGCACCCCCCCTTCCTGCCAATCACAATTCTTGTGCCTTATTTCACCGACCCCTGGCCAATTTCAGACGGGTTCCTCTGTCTCTAAAATAAAAATATAAAATCAGATGCCCCACAAAAAGATTAACCCCCAAAAGAGGAAGTACCCGGCTAGAGACCGGAAAAGCTTCAGATGGCTTGTACTTTTGGCGGGAAAATGTTTCCTCTCCTTCCTTTAAGTATCCTCTTTTTACAGTTGTCTTTCCAATTTTTTTTTTTTTTTTTGTATTTCGTTTTCCTTTTGAAAATGCTTGCCAAACAGATGGCCTGTTCGGCCCGGCCACCACACGTTCCGTATTTATAAGCGACGTCAGTATTTTGAATGATGATTTTTCAAGACAGACTTTCTTCCACTTGGGAGTTTGAAGCTAAACAATCAATCTCAGTAATAGTTAGAATCACGAATCATATAAGAGTTACGTCATGAATGGAAGATTCATTCCTATTATATATGTAACATTAACAGCAATAACTAATAATAAAATAAAACAATTATAACTGATAGAAGATTCGTTCCTACCGTAGATCTTATTAGGCACACTAAGAGATTAACAACAATAAAAAATAATAATAAAATAGAACAATTATAACAACATACAGGAATAAACGTTATGTCACGTATAGAAAATTTATTTTTACCGTAGATTTTGTAAGGCACAATTAAGTTTAAAATTAAGGATTTTCCTTCACCAAACAGATTAATTTTAAGAACAAAGAATATATATATATATATATATATATATATATATATATATATATATATATATATATATATATATATATGTTCTTTGTTCTTAAAATTAAATTGAAATGTATATATATATATATATATATATATTTCAATTAAAAGTGCAAATTATAATTTATAAATTCATGAATCATTCATACAAAAATTTAAATCATTAACCTCTATATTTGTTTTTTTGTATGAATAATTCATGAATTTATATATATATATATATATATATATATATATATATATATATATATATATATATATAAAAAAATATAGTCTTAAGGTGTGCTATATTTATAGGATAAAGTGCTCAATATCAGAGATAGAGCGTGTGTAAATATAAAAGTGAACATAGAAGTCAACACTTAGAGGCGACAGTCTGTTTCATGCTATATGCAATCGTCAGGCCACATATGCTGTTATTTTTCTCGGCTATTTATATATATACGGGTTAGTGGTGCATTGTGGGTATTCTATTATGGCGGTTATTTTTTACCGGAAGTCGCCTTGGCCTTGAAAATATTGTGTCATCTGTGATTGCATCAGATTTTCATAACGCCCAAACACTATTGTCTCGCTTGTCGATTAGTTGTCTTGTGGTCATTGCCTGCGATCGACGTTACTCCAATTAATAAGAAGCGTACAAAAAATTATAACGCTGCACGTACACACTGGCAAGACTTACCAGTGAGCAAATCAAAGTACTATAGACTGGCGCGGAAACTCTCCTAAGTCGCGACTTCCGGTAAAAAATAACCGCCATAATAGAATACCCACAATGCACCACTAACCCGTATATATATAAATAGCCGAGAAAAATAACAGCATATGTGGCCTGACGATTGCATATAGCATGAAACAGACTGTCGCCTCTAAGTGTTGACTTCTATGTTCACTTTTATATATATATATATATATATATATAAGGATACCGTCAAAGTTTGAGATAAAAACTTAAAAATGGACTCATTTAAAATAATTTAAATACCTCTTTTTTAATAAAAAAAATTGCTTTTATTTGAAAGATAATAGACTAACGCTAATCATTAGTAAAAGAAAAATAGTTTTACGTATTTCAATAATGTTATCAGACATTTTTAAAACATTTAACATCATATCTATCTATATATAAAATTCTGTGATTCCGTTAGTCCATCCGTCACACCCTCTAAAATAACCATACATTGACCGATAGAAACCGAATTTTGGGGAGAAGTGCTAAGAGGTAAGTAAAGTATAAAGTACAGTTTGTTTTTTCTAGGGTGTGTAGCTTAGTACAATAAATTTTCATTAAGTTTTTGGAAAAATGAAAATTTTTATTATTTCACATCCAAAATTATCCCACTATTTTAAAAACAATTTAATGATTAAAATAACAGATAATTACTTAATAAAAATCCAATATTGTTCCTTGCATATTTTTTTTTTTAAATTTGCATATACAAGAATCCAGTTTTCAGTTCACCCTGCGTTTGCGAGATCTGTAAACAAAGAACAAGGTCAAACGCTTCAAAAAGTTGAAATTTGGCTTCAGAAATATTTACACATGGCCAGTTGTCCTTTGCATGCTCATGAGTAAGAAATGCTAAGAATTTATTCTTCGTTGTTAAAAAGGAAAAAAAGAAATTTTCTTAAAAATTTTGTTTTCCATGAAGACTGATAAAATTAAATTTAAAATTATTAAACCACGAAGTATTTTCTAAACAAATCAGCTTACACCCTTGTTCAAATTAATTGAAATAACCACTTTAATTTCCTTTCTTTCACCATACGGTCAGTTTTAGACCCATTGTAGTGAAAGGGTGTAATCGATTTCTAATTTTTCTTCAGATTAGGTCATTTGCAATGATGTGCAGTAATATGAATCTATTGTCAGTGTGTATGATGGAATTTGTTTGGCCTTGAAAATATTGTGTCATCTGTGATTGCATCAGATTTTCATAACGCCCAAACACTATTGTCTCGCTTGTCGATTAGTTGTCTTGTGGTCATTGCCTGCGATCGACGTTACTCCAATTAATAAGAAGCGTACAAAAAATTATAACGCTGCACGTACACACTGGCAAGCCTTACCAGTGAGCAAATCAAAGTACTATAGACTGGCGCGGAAACTCTCCTAATTTAAATGCAATAGAGAATCTATGGTCACTCTACAAGAAACAACTTCGTGGAATGGACATACGAAGTACTAACATGTGTACTGGGTCATGTTTTATTGACAAAAATACGAAAAAAAGTAAATAATAACGGAATTATTCGTTTTAAATTTCATCGATCGGTTTGCGAAATTGAATGAAACGTAGATTTTGTAAATCGTGACAAAAATGTTAACGATAACTTCAACAATAGTAAATACTGTGAGAATTTCAAAATGGGTCAGAGTATTGCAAAAAAAATCTAGTTTAGTAAAAGAAGCATGCATCATGAAGAAATAGGTTTAATTGAATATAAATTGGCATGAATAATCTTGAAACTCTTCTAAACATATATATTTCATGAATCCGCCGTAAGTATCGATGTATGATGTACGCATCAGTTGTATGTTGCATGCTCAAGAGTAAGAATTTATTTTTAGCTGTTAAAAGAAAAAAAAGAAATTTTCTTAAAAATATTATTTACTATGAAGTCCTTTGAAATTAAATTAAATTAAAGAAACTATTAAACCACGAAGTAGGGTTTTTGTCAAAGTATTTTTTTAAACAAATCAGCTTATTCAGATTTCATCGATTGGGTTGCAAAATTGAATGAAATGTAGAGTTTATAAATCCTGACAAAACAATACTAAATACTATGAGGATTTCAACAGGCGTCGGCGTGTGTTGCAAAATATTCTACTAACCAATAATTTAAGAATATATTCATTATTCAATAAACTTTTGAAGTTTATTCTGTATTTATTTACCAACTAGCAGTATAACCCGTCTTCAACTGGGTCTTTCATTACTGGGAATTTTGGCCTAGCGACGTTTCAACCTTTATGAGTTACTAGCAGTAGAGCCCGACGTTGCCCGGGGATATAACCGTAAGAGATAGATCAAGTATCGACCATCATAAAGACTGAAAAATAAAATTGACAAAGATTATTCTTTAAGGTTGACGGACACGCATGTCTTAATTAGTTTTTTTTTTTTTTGGTTTTGGTTTGTTTTGTTTTTTTCGAATTGGTCAAACACAAACTCAAACAAAAACATTGTTTTCAATCGTTATGAGTCTACCAATTGAATAGAATTTTATTATAAACAATTGTCTTGTAAATGGAATTTTTAAAGCTTTCTGAATGTAAAAATAAAGTAAAAAGTGTGTAAGACAATAAGAAACAATACCTGCCAAAAAAAGTGAAGTTTTGTTGAAATCGGTCGAAAAATGTAGGAAATCCGATCCCATATATAAACGAACACACACACACACACGCAAACAACCTGGGTTTTATAAGTATAACTCGATATGAGTTGACCGCCATTCATTCTAGAAACAGTGATGCCTCTTAATCGTGTTTTCAAATTGATTTCGTGCAAAAACAATTGTTTTTTTCCAATTTTGGGCGCTGTCAGAACCACCGCAAGGTAATTTTACGCAGTCCTGTGAAGTTTTGTTATAATCGGTTGAAAAATGTAGGAAATCCGATCAAATATATAAACGTACACACACACACACACACACACACACACACACACACACACACACACACACACACAAAATCTGCGTTTTATAATAAGTAAGATTTAATGCCGGTACCTAAAAAGTTTGAATATAAATGTATATTTCGAACGCAATTGTGTGCCTCCAACGACAGATAAAACGTACTGCTGTTCATTTTGCTTTAAAAATGTATTGTTGGTCACTATGCTTTAAAAATGTATTGTTGGTCATTTTACTATAAGCTAGCAGGATAACCCGTCTTCGTCCGGGTCTTTCATTACTGGGAATTTTTGCCGTTCAGCTGGAGCAGTTTAAAGTCAGCCCGCCCGAAAATCAATATTAGTATCAACAATTGGATGCAACTGAGGCACGTCCCCAAAGGGGTGGGGGGGGTAACAATTTGAATGAGGGGTCCTGAAAAGGGCCGATTTTGCGTTCCCAACCTTGTTTCAGCCTCACGCGCAGCTGCAGTTGAAGAGGCGTTTCTCTTCAGCCGTTGAGTCCTTTGATCATCATTTTCAGCCTCGCGTGCAGAAGCGTTCGAATGGAAACTGCGGAAAAGCATAAACAACATCCGATCACACACGCGCGAGCGCGCGCGCGCACACACACACTCACAAAAACACATACATACACACACACATTTTGTGGAATTATA